ATGCTAGTCGACGAGCAAAAACATATTTAATTTGCTTCTTCTCTTCAAAATTTTGGCCATATTTAATGCTTGAGGAGGTGACCAATTAACAATGCAGCAAAAGGGAACAATGAATATAAAATGATTGTAGCAAGATCAAGAAAAAATGCTATAAAGATATGGCACTGAAAAAATTTGCATGAAACGACGTGAGAACAACGCAACGCAATATCAGTGTATGACTGTTAGGATCATGCAGAGCAACTGCTTAGACGTCAGAAAAAAGTCTACAGGAGCTCAATGGCTTCGGAAGATTATTCAATATGAAGCAGTGCATAAGGCATACCTGCCCAGGAGGATGCGTTCGGCATCCAAGTATTGAGCCCTGTATTATGTCTGCATTTATCATGCGACCGCCTATATTGTATGTATTCTGGAAAAAATAACATTGAGATCAGAACTACTACCTAATATCTCAAAGAGGCCACCTTTTGAATTCACCTCTGAAGTAGATTACCTTGATTAGTAAGGATGCCTTTTTTATGTTGCTTCCTGGAATCCCATATTCCAGATGTGCCTGCATACATCACATCAAGAGATAGGGCTTTCATATTTGAAACTGAGAAAGGTAGGAGTATGTCAAGGAAAATAGGCAAGTTCTTAGTGCTGATGGATAAAGAGAGGGAAAAAGAATTACATGCATCATAATTGCATTGTGTATGTTAATCCAGAAAGCAATCTTTTCATCATTGCTCATCGATCTCGGATCAACCATTTCCAATCGCTGAACAAGCAATCTGAAATAAAAAAACCAATCAAGTCAAGTTTGTTAAAAAAAAATTTCTGATAAATTCCCTGAGAGTTTTTATCTTGTAAATGCTTATAATCAGATTCAGCAATATGATTCCAGAAAAAAAATGCATCTGTTCTTAATGAATCATTAGCACGCATACCACACTTGCATGTACAGGTATTCTATGCAACTAAACAGGGTAGCAAATGCAATTATGCAGCGTTTCTTATAGTCATGCAGTGACTCACTTATAATTCTGCAGCATTTCATCAAGATCACTAGACCTTCGGCTGTGCTTGCATATTGAAGACACCTCTACCATCACACTGTAAGGTCCACTGAAATCCTTTAATCTTTCAGCGCAGCAAGAATTCTCCAACCATGCATCAAGGACGGCTTCTCTTTTACAATAAGGGCTCTGCAGTTCTTTCATATAACAGGGAGAAAATGTATTCCTTGATGAGAAGGACAAAGTAGGTGAAGATGCGACACAGTGATGCCCAACATGGTCATCTGAAAGTTTACAATAGATGGCACACATGGACTTGATCATGTCTTCAGATAGTTTGTTTGGTGTCTCAGGAATGTGATCAGCAATTGTTGTTCCAAGATGATCTGCCAGCCTTGTTACCCCTGAATTGAAGTCTTGTCCATGCTGTACACAAACCAAAACGATAATGATTAGAAGGCAGTTGCGACAGGAGACTGAACTTGTTATGGATATTTATTTTTAGGAAGCTGGAGGGTTATCTCAAGAAGTTCAAGACATGTAAAGTTTTCTTTTCTAAGAAGGAAAGAAAGATGGGAGTATGATCATATACTTTAAGGAACGATAAAGGTAGAGTATGGCATGCCCCGAGAGCTCGAGCTAGATTCTTTGCCGAAGGTGACCCTTTAGCTGAACATACTGAGCGTGGCACTAGTGATGAATGGCTGCGGTGAATGCCACGACCATGCTTCTCTTGACAATTAACAGGACAAGCTTCATTGCATAACTTGTTTGCTGATTTTCGTGGAAGAAGAATATGACTTGACTGAAATGCTGATTCGGCTTTTCTGAATGGGATATCATGTGTTGCGGCTTCTGGAAATGGCATTGACTGGGAAATCAGTTGCTGCTTCTTTACATCTTCAACAGCAGTGGGAGATACATTTGATATACGTTGTTCAAAGACTCTTCGGTAGAGTGATAGAAGATATTGTTCCAAATGCACAACCTCTAACTCTAACATCGCAATCTCCCTTATTAGCTCCTTGGTTGGCTGCCATTACAAGAAAGTACATCAGTAAATTCGAAGTCCAAGGTTGGTGCAGAAGATATTTTAATGATGTTAAGAATACTTACTCGTAACTTTCAAACTTGACTGTTATTATTCGGTTTCAGGAAAAGATATGACATTTTTTTATCATATATGAGTCTTCCATCTTGGTTGGAAGGCCCAAATTATGCTAATCGATGTAATAATGACATTTCAAATCAAGCAACAACAAGATTATGGATCAAGGGACATCTTTTTTTTGTATGGGACACCATTATTTTTGTGAACTATATGGAAACTAGATAATAAGAAGTAAAAAAAAAACATTTAATAAGTAAAAAAAAGACAAAGAACTTACCTTTGGAATATAACCATCAATCGATGTATCAATGGCAGAACTCTTGTGCCGCAACGCATTTTCTAGAGCTTGTCGCACAACAAACTGATCCTTGAGGCATTTCTCAAGTTGTTGAATCTGCATTAAGGAAGTGAGGAGGTAATTTAAATGTGCAAGAAACCTTTTAAAAAAAAGATTGATAAAACTGACAGCAAAAAGCAACCATTGCGACAAAAGTAATATCCTGGTAAATGCTTGAGATGCATGACACAGTTTCCAGTTCAATGTAACCGGGCCTCGTGATTGATTAACTAGATACTGCTTAAACATGTTATTCACAAGAATTCCAGAATGATATAAGCAACCCACAACAGAGTTTAGGATGAATATTTTCCATGAAGTACTCATGAGCATCATGACTTTTGCCCTTTAAGAAGAAATGCAATGCACTAATTACTTTCTCTCCTGTGCAATATAATCTTTCTCATGGTCTTGGCAGACATCAGTTGGTAAGAAACACGTAGCAATTGCTGATATCAAGCAAAAAGTTGAAAGTGATGTATGCAAAAACAATGTGTGATCAAGATCACTCCATAGTCGCTATTGAACCTTAACTTTAGGTGATGGTACCTCTTTCTTGAGAGAGCTTTCAACCTCACAGTTAGGTGAAGGCCCTTTCTTGATCTCAGCTTGGCCGACTTCTTCCACATCCTTGCAACCATATCAAATCTAGGATTTAGTGTTTCACATTTTCGCTCCCATCGTCGAAAGAATACAATTAGGAAAACAACAACTTCCAACAAATTGCATTGCAGTAACTACCAACTACAGAGTCATTAGAGTGATCACTTTCTTACCATCCTAACATGATGAAATGATTTGACCGATACATCCAGTTTGTCCGTCCTTATTCTCTTGTCTGAATCACTGCAATTACAGAGGAATGCTGTCAGCAAGAATTCTACATCGCCAACACAGGTTGCAGCTTCACATCCTTCTCAACATTAAATCTAGAAATGAATGATCTTAATTTCGAAAAATATACGATGCACAAATGATTCAGAATCCAAAATTTAAACTTGCCCTTGTCCTTCTCCTGTCATTTAAGCCTATTTACAAACACATGTAATGCTACCAAAGACAGGAAGAGAAGCGCGAGATAGAAATAGCTAGGTTGGAGATCAACTACCTACCTCCTAGAACGCCTGTGCCTTGCAGAGACCTCTCCAACAGAGCCCATTGCTTCCACAGGAATAATCTTCAGCGTTCCACTTCCTGCATTTAAGTGACTTCATTGGACGCAAGAAATCACATCAAAGAAGCCTTAACGAGCGGAGAAGGAGAATGCCTGGCACGAATGAGTCGTCGATCAGTTCAACCAAGCTTCTCACTCCACAAGCCCCTCTGCCCCTCAACACATATCTACTATTATACGTCCTAACAAATCAAAGAAGAAGAGGAAGAACAATCTGCATCCTCACACGGAGACTCATCATCAGACTTGGTCTTGTGGGGGGGTGAACCCACGGATGAGTGGCTGTCTTGTTAGGAACAGTCGAGTCAGTGTGTCAGTCGAGGACAGAGCAGATGCTGCGTGCAGGCAAGGCCTGATGCCACAGCCATTAATGGAGTTTGTCTCTTCCAGACTTCTCCTTGGAATAGCTGCATGTTGCAGTGGGAGCTCATCTCGTCATGTGACTGAATAAAGTAGAATTCATACGCCATCAGTACAAATGAAACTTCCATTTTGTTATCACAGGAGAGTGGGTGTCGAAGCATCACAGGGTGTCCATCCATGAAGCGTGACACAGCGATGCATACGTTGACGTTACAAGACAAAGAGTCTTTGAGAGCGAATAAAGAGAAGCATAAAGGTCTTCACATGCCTCAGTGAAGCTTCTCAGTGTCGGTAGCGTGAAAACAGAAGGGGAACTGCAGCGTACATCTATCTGTAAAGAGAATGTTTTCACAGCCTCTTCAGATCAGAAGGTGAGGCGTAAAGGGATCATAGCCTGCCTCGACGAAGTTTCATGGAGCGACTGCTTGTCACAGAATCCATCGCTTAAAGAAATGTGCGTTGCACTGGCATTTTCACAAACAGTTGCAAAAGAGGAAGAATAAGGTGCATCTCTGCAGCAAAAAGACTGTTGCCTTTGGCAGCTCGGAGAAGCTTTTAGATCTTCACAGTTCATAGAATACATGGGATTGTGGGAGACACTGCAACTGCTACAGTGATGTAATAATTACATGGTTTCCGGTCCGCGAAGACTCATCATAAACTAATATATGGCATGTCTTCGTCAATGAGTTCTCGTCGTCATGGAAATGAGCGACGTTATAATACGATCAGAAGACAGACATGCTCGAGGTTTCATGTGCTTTTGGAGCTGTTTCCACCGAGGGTTTCGATCGTGGAGTGATGGATGGCTTGGAGTCACTTGAAAGGTCAAAGGGGTGGAGCATTCAAGGTCCTGTACAAGTAGCTTCTTTTTCTACTGTCGAAGTAGGTGATGGATCTGTGTCGGAGCGCAGCTTATCTGAACAAGCATCGGAGTTGGGAACAAGTAGATCCATGTGATCGACAGCATAGATTACAGACCGCCGCTAATTGTCAATGATGCGCTCAGATAGCTTTTGGGAAAATGGCTTTTGTAGCATATAATTTGATAAGAGCAGCACAACAACAATATGTTCTTTCGTTCCTCGAACTAAATCTATTACAAATTGAGTGGATAAGATCAAGCTCTTCATGTATACAATCTTGGTTGGAGCAGGAAAAGGAGTAGATTGCTTCTTCTTCTCCCAACAGTAGTAGTGTTGTACATAATAGTTTGGACTCGGATACTCTTCGTCTTGCAGCTCTCAGTGGTCGGTTGCAGTCAATCTCAGCCACTGACGCCCAAAATGGTGGATGGGTTGATGATGAATTGGATCTGCCCTGGAATGGATATGATCACAGTCCAATGCTGTTCTGCAAATATGCCTGTGGAGTAACAAAAACCATGTCAAACTCCTTCATTGTGCACATTACAAATTCAAACAGATACCTACAACTCCATCGATTGAATGATTCACATAGAAGACACAAGTTTCTCCTCGATATAGCCAATCATTTTGGAACATACATAGGGAATAGGGGGCAAGAGGGAAGATTAAGAAACTACTAGAGCATGGAAGAGTTTACCTATGATCACCAGAATCGAAATAGGTAAGAGAGTGGTCATTAAAAGGGTAATAAGGTTGCATTCTCCACATTTATAAGGTTCTATGAACAAACATTTCATCTCTGACAGTGGACTTCAGCTATTTTGAAAAGATAAACTATTTCGTAGACAGAATAGACCAAATGCAAATACCAAGATATCGGTTTGTGTGTGCCTACTGAATGATAATAAAATTGAAGACAGTAAACCAACTACAAGATAGAATCACATTATTATAGCCATTTTGCTTAAAATAAGAACAATTACAGGCTAAGATAGCTTTCACATTTCCTATCTTTCATTATCTATACAATCTTTTTTCTCTTTCAAACCTCATGTAAATATCAAATAGATAAGATGGCTTTTGGAAGTATGACATGTAGACACATGTCCACCTCTTTCAGCATATAATGATGAACAAGTTTATCTGCTTTATGTTGGAGAGTTCATGCTTCAGCAACTAATATGTGTCCCTAATTGATGGCCAAGAATGTGAAAAAGGACTCATGAAAATATCCAACTCAATTAAAAGCCATGAAATTACTAAAAGCCCAATAAAGCAGCCACCTTATGTTCACTCCTAATGTTCTCTGCACATGACTTAAAGAAGGAATCTGCAAATGAGTTCATCCTTTGAACCATAAAAGTGAGCTCCAATGACTTCCATGAGAAGAGATGACACCACATCAAAGGAAGATTCTACAATGTTTAAAGTTCAAAAAAGACTTGACTTTATGTTACTGCACACAATGCACAAGTGCACCGGAGCAACTTTCTGCAGTGGTAAAAGAATCTAGCTGCCTAGAGATTATGAGAGTAGAATCACTTGAATGTCAAATAACTGGTCTCATCAGCTTTAAATGAGGGGAAATACTGCAACAGAAATGCTATCAGTTTCTGTTCTTGTTCTACAAAGTCATTTTAGAATTTGTATACATGCGCAGTTAAAGACCATATCTAGCATGCATGAATTGGTAAAAAAATTAGCTGCAGAGTGAAGATTCTCAGCACAGTGACCAAAATACCCATAATTGAGTCTTTAAAGTTTTCATGAGTGAGATATTGGCGAATGCTTTCAACAGATAGACCACCATAAGTTTTTTTACTTCTTACTATTTACATATAGTTTCAAGGCTCAAGCAGCTTGCAAGAGACAGGTGTTGGATCAGGTCGGGTCCTGAGGGATCTGGATAAAATAACAATCCACATTTATGCAATCTCAGAAAATAGAAAAACACATGGATCAAGTAGTGAAAAATCAAAGTATGACCATCGCACTCAGCTGCATTATCAGGACACTTATTCATTCTTCTCAATTTGATACCAAAGAATTCATGGTTAAATGATAAGAACAGAAAATAGTGAATTACATCAGACTACAGAATCTGATCATTTTTCTATTGGAATGAAAATTTTCTAGGATGCTGCAGAATTGACTTTGAACAAGACTGTAAATCAAGATGTGGCATTGTTCATTTTCTATTACTTAATATGTAGAAATTGAATTTGATTATTGCTCATTTCCATGCATTGTTCATGAAAAATATGATTATTTTTTATTCATTTTTTTATGATGTCAACTAGCTCAACTGAGAAATACCTTGATAGTTTATTGCAAGATCTTGGACTTGAATCTCGCCTTCATCACTTACCTTTGTAAAAAAAATTAAATTAAATTCAAAGAAAATATGGCAGAGGGATTTTTTCAGGTTGCTACTGCATTTACCAAATTTATATTTAGATGAAAATGCTGCATAGCTGGGTCTATTTTGACACCTGAGTACAAACCAGGCGGATCTTTAATCCTTATAAACATCTATAGCCTGAAATCAAAGAACCAGTATAACTTGACAGCACCACCATCTGTTTTCCACACAGGAGACAAGATCAGTGAGTTAATTTGATCTTGTAGATCTCTGATATATTATGACAATGCCGGTTTTTCTAGTACTATTCCATAGGCATCATTTCTTTCCAAGCATGGCTATTACAAAAAAAGGGTAAGATAAATGAAGAGAAATTAAGATACAGACATGAGGAAGAAGTAAATGAATGATAAGAAGACTTCTTTCAAATATTCCTTGATGCATAATGCATTAGCAATCAGCTATACCTGAAAGGAAAAAAAAATCAACCTTTCTACTTGCAATAATCTCTTAAACTAAAACTTTGCAAGTCATCATGTTTCTACAATGTGTAAACAAACTTATAAAATATACGAACGCAACCCTGTTTGAAAATTACGATTTACTCGATCAAGACCTTTAGTCTCACAAAATCTTGCATTGATGAAAAGTAGTTCCATTGGCAATTACATTTACAGTCCAACCACAGGTATTTAACATGACACTAAGCCCTAAAACGAACAAACGAAGAAGCATCAATATGATACCATCATCTTAAGCACAAAATTTCAAGGAAAAAGATCACCTCGGCAGATTGCCGATGCAAACTCAAAAAATCACCCGTATCCCAGCGTTGATGGATAAACAGGTCGTCGCATGCGGTACTCAGCCTCTCACCTGCAGGAAATTCTATCACTTCCGCCACAAGCGCTCCTCCCATATATATCATGCCATCAACTAGAGCAATTCGAGGTTTCAAGAAACCACACATCGAATTAGGTAATTTTGTCCAGGTCATTTCGGTTCTTCAAAATCGAGAAAAGACGGGAAAAAAGATCCATCGAGGAACCAAGGCTTGAGATGATCGAACAGACGAAACCCTAATGATTACCGACGACATGATGGGACGAGTCCTCACGATCGGCGACGAGGCCTATACATCCCTCGGCGATATTGCAGGGTGGAGGATCCTCTCCATCTCTACTTGCAAATTGCAAAGTTCCAATTCCAATCGCATCTCGTTATCTCACCCGTAGGCTGATGCAAGCCCACCCGACCCCAATCCGACCGTCCAACCTATAGCTCGAGCAGATCCTGATCGTTCATCACAGGGAAGGGCGTTCTAGTCTCTAAATAGAGAGGTAAAAAAAGAAGCACAGGCTATCATCAAGGAAAAAATCATAAAAGAAAATAATAAATTACAAACTTCAAATAAATATATTTTAAATTTAAATTATTATAGAATAAAAACAAGAAGAATGTGAGAACTATCAAATGAAAATAGAGATTTTATGCATATACAATCAGATAAAATATCTAACATACAGAAAAAATAATTTAAAACTTTTTTAAAACATATATATATATATATATATATATATATATGAAACTCAATCTCACTAAGTCAAGGCTCAACATATACCTCTCGAATCTAAGGCTCAACATAACATATACCTCTCAAATCTATTCTACGTGAATACCTAAGAGGATAAACAAACCAAGCAAAGAGTGATATTGGCACGGCTCAATCAGATCAAATATCTCAAACTAAAATATGATCAAATCTGATTGAGCCATTCCAACATCACACTCTCACCCAGCGAGCTCCTTCGTTTACTTCATAGCATGTTTCTGCAGGAAGAGAAGGTACGACATGTTAGTAGAGAGAGGAGCAAGCAAGGATGGAGGAAGAGGCATCGAAGAAATAGAGGAAGGAAGGAGAAGGATGGTTGAGACGTCAATGTCTTGTCTTCCACATGTGCATATTGTATACATATCAATACAAAATTTTACTTGGTTCTCGATGCAGTGGCTGTGATGAACATATTGCATGTCTCTGGGGTTGGCAGAAGATCATGGACAATAGGGAAGAATCCAAGGCAAAGAACAATAAGCAAGCTTTTCTGTGAAGTACGCAGACCAGATCCAAATTTCAAGTTGGATGGGTCCGAGGAAGGTGTGCTCGTAAAGTCCAAAAAAAAATGGAAGATAAAAAAGTTACCTCAGCGAGAATCAACAGAGCGCACATTTTCCATGAAGAGAGCTCACATTTCTGGTCTTCCAAACAGTCATCGATGTTTGTTCCTGAAACAAGAAGTCAGTGCATCGGTTGGATCGATTTAATACCAGTATGTGTTACTTTATATTGATCCAGCAAATTAAAGCTTCTGCGTCATGCAACAGGACAAGGAGAAGGTTTAGTCGGTTGGCCGAGCTGACAGTATACTTGCTTCAATAATGCACACCGACTTGTCCAATCACCAAAGAGAGTTCTCAAGGTGATCACAAAGAACAAGGAGAGTGGTGAGGAAGAAGCTGGCGTTGGCAGGCAGTGACTTGAAGGGAAGGTAGAGATTCCACTGATGTCTATGGATTTGTGTGTCTTTGTTTTGATGATATGGAAGACAGGCAATGGGGGACGCCTTGGCCAGCAACAAGCCCTCCTCCAATCTATAGTTTGGCCATCAGTTCAGCCAGCATGTAAGAACAAAGAAGGAATAGATATAACACATGATAAAAGGATATCAACAGAAGAAAAAAAATTAAAATTAAAATTGCATGACATAATATGTCCTATTATGAATCATCGTGAAGAGATACTTCAATCTAGCACAGCTCCTCGAATGCTTTGGGTGATATTTGGATTAGTATCTTCCCCATTCATACAGTCTGCAGACTAAATTTCAGTTCTGCAAATTCACATTTTGATAGCCACTTAAACTATCTTTCAATTTGTGAACAAAGAAGCCATCAAAATTCACCTTTTGAACTAAGATAAGTTTTTCCCACAATAAAAAAAATAAGTAGCCTATGTTTCTAGCTCCTCGCATATTGTGGTTCGAAATATATAATTCTCATCTTCCAGCTCTTCGTGTAACAAACTAATAGATGGCATACTTGGTCTCTCGCTTCCACACTCCTTGTTGTCTGACATCCTCCTTCCCTGGAAAATAAAGAAACTAATAATATCATGGGAAGCAACATGCGAGACCTCATGTTTGAGGTAAATGCTGTTTAGATAGAGAAGAGAGCTAAAGCAAGCTTTAGATGTATGAAAAAGAAGATGCATCATTGTGTTAACAAACCTTCTTAAGAGTATAGAAAAAATAATGGAATCCTTCCCCAAAGGTTTTCCAATCAACAGACCAGGTAAAACCTTGGCCTTCAAATAGTGGCCGTCTGAAGTGTGGCTGCAAGGAGTTGCAGAGCCAAGCAATATGAGAAAAGGCAAAAGGGAAATGCACAATCACAAGAGAATGTGCTGTTCGGTCCATTACCTGTCCAAATGAGATTGAAATAAAAGTGCCTTCTGGTTTCAGAACCTTGTGAACACCTTGAAGCATTTTCATCACCTTATCTACCGTTGCAGGCCGGGGTTTCCATGGATCACCACTGTCCACAAACAATACATCCTTTTAAAAGGATGTTTTGCTACAGCAGATTAATACACATAATTACCATAGGAACATCAGATAGCAATGACAAAATCGATAGGCCATCTTATTACTCAATTAAGCTTGAAGATACAAACTTTTCACTGTTCATTGCAATGCTCAAACCAAAGCTAGAACATAGAAATATCCCAGAAACGAGTATATAAAAAATTGGATGAAGATGCAAATCTAGTCTACAACTAGCAGGTAAAAAAATGGACCTAATAAAAAATTTGTATACAGTCCAACTGTTGGTGACAGTGAATTAATAGTGTTGTGCAGCTAGAAAATCAAAAAAACCAAACAATTTAAAATGATCAACAGAGTTCTTGATCTAAAACCAAATAAAAAAAATAATAGAGTTCTCAAACTAGTGAAAAAGTACCATGCCCTTGTATAACTAAAACCATTATATTTTCACAAAGAGTGCAATTCTCTTCTTCTAAAAGAGCTGCATGAAAAAGGGACAACCTTGCAGTTATATGTGGTCATAAATTTTCTGTCATTTGCTTCATCATGTATCCTTATATATACCATGCTTGAGGTGAGTATTGTTGGCCATAACCAGTTGTAACACAGAAGAAATTTACCTTCCATTTAGACCAAATTTCCAGTGCTACAGTACTATTAGGATTTACATAAATTTTCTTCATAAACAAAACCATCTGATCCCTTTGCTGCTAGAAATACAGAGGCTTTTATCACCTCATCCCAGTACAGCAATGTGACAGACTATGACCAATGTTGATGTCATAACTTCATATGCAAGGGATACTTTTGAATAGTACCTTAAAAGATAATGCTACTTCGCATCAATTAATTTAAACCCAGAACCTATAGATATGGTTATATAGTGAGTGAACCTAAAACACAAGCTGTTTCTGTCGTGACGCTACAAAATTCACGGTCGTAAATTTCTTTGTGAAGAACTATATGACCTACTGGTGGCATTCAGGTACAGCACTATTGCTTCAAATCATCCATCGTTAACTCGCTAACACACAAGTGCATGGCAAATTCATGATCTCCATCACTAGAAAATTTAACTTATTGTAAAAGCAGAACATATACGTGTAGACACTGCTACGTCTAGAATCCTTAAGTTGTAACCTTTTCACATATCTCCATCAACTTAACATATCTCAGTGACAAAGTAAGCATGTTCACTAAGGTACGAAATACCACCACTTAAACAGGCAAGGAAAAAAAAGAGCAATAATGTTTCGCTCGCTAAGCAGATGACCTAATCCAGATAAAATCTGGAGGTCCATAAGATGCACAACATCAATAGACATTGAAAGAACACAGTAGGCCTTTTACCATGGTTCCTTTCTCGATCACGACATCAAAGGATTCCCCACCAAAAGGCATGTCTAGCATGTCGGCCTGAACCACCTTGATGCCTGCAGAACGAGAAAACCAACCGCAACGATTAGGCCATCGACATCGACATTTCCACAAACACAACAAAATCAAGGTGAAATCAGCACCTTCAAGCCCAATGTCCCGCAAGCGGTTCTGCATCCTTTCGACAGCGACGGGGGAGATGTCGACGCAGGTGATGTCGGCAACGCCATCCCTGCGCAGCTCCTCGCAGAGCCGCGAGTTCCCGCATCCAATCTCCAGTACCTACCAACATTTAAAGGAAAAGGAAACACGCATTACTTTGGGCGCATGTATGATTCGGAACACAAGGAGAGACGAAACGAGAAATAACCGAGTGGGATGGGCTGAGGAAGGGGCGGAGGAGGTGTTGGAAGTGGGAGTAATCTTTGAACCACTCGTAGTGCTCTTCGGCGGCGAACCTCTCATTCCTTGTAGTAACAGCAACGATGCAAAGAGTTCTGAGAGGCGAGATGAAAAAACAGATAGTGGGATAGATTTAGTGAACGGACCAGTAGTGGGGATCGAGATAGGCGGCGGCCGTGCGCGGGGCAACGTCCAAGGGGCTGTTGCTCTCCGTCTCTGATCTCACGTCGGCCATCGGACGCTTCGAGCCCTAACGATGCCGAACCCTGGACACATGGCAGCGTTCAACAAAAAATAGTGGGCTAAGCCCAGCCCAGAAAGTTAGATGTGTGCCAAAAAATAATTGAACCGCCGTTGCCGGGGATCGAACCCGGGTCACCCGCGCGACAGGCGCGAATACTCACCACTATACTACAACGACTCAATTAGCCAATGTGCCACTTGTACATATATATATTATATTTTAATAATAGTATGGCATGCATGAGCTTTTGTCTATCTTAGACAACATGTTTTTACCAATGTAGGGATGCATGTTAATTGTATCCACTGATGGAGATCTCACAGAAAACAGAGTAGAGGACGCATCTTTATGGCTGCAGGTGTTATGAATCAAGAGCAGTCCACATGGAGAAGAACTCAAGTGACCATGGACCATATGTTTCCTTCCAACATTGCCTGTGATATATCTAATAGATAGCATCAACATGTGTAGCGGCTCCAAAAGATTCTTAACTAAATTCAGCATGTCCACTTAGAACTAATCAATCCAAACAATTTTCAGTATTGCTGAACACAATCTCTAAATGGAGATTTAGAGAAGGAAAAAAAAAAGCTTGAACCTGAAGGATTAGTAGAGGCTCATGGGGATGTCTACTCAAGTTACTAATGGAGAACTGAGTCAAATGGGGAGTGTGTATGGTGGAGAATGGTCTGGATAAAATTATTTTTCTAAAATATCAGCAATCACTGAAAATTGAGTAGGAACCACCTCTAAATATAATAGTACAAAACAAGCCTAATACCTTGTGCATTGAGCTCATAATAACTGACCTAACATGAAACAGAAAAGACAGATGAACATGCTAAAAGAGCAGACAGAGAACATGTATTATTGAACTGGGAGAGAGATACATAAATATGTTGGACCGAAGAATCAAATTCAGATGCAGCAACTACTTGTTAGTCACTTGTGTATGTAATAAAGATCGGCTACAGAATCCAACTGCTCAATCTTTTCAAATGGTATTGCATCCATACAAAACTAGTCTATGCTACTAGTCCAAGGAAAATCTACCAGTATAACAAGTTTACCTAACATGATAGATGCTCTGCAGAATCTTGTCTAGATTCAGGTAAATTTTCATGTGATGGTTTTTTAGATGGTTTGTTTAGATCTTGGTCGCTAGAAGGCAACAAAGGTCCGATGATCTTTCTTCTAACTGATGCTGCTTCCTTTAGTTTTCTTTTCCTTATTCTCTTTCTTTGAGCCCTTGTGAGCTTTTTTGATTCAACATCACTTGTACAACCCAGTTCACTTCCATCATCATGTTCATCTCCTGCAAGAATAATGAGCTCAACGAACAGAACATGATACGATTGTACAAATTGTAATCTTCCATTTATATATACCTTGATCCAAATCCAGCGCCATATCCCCGCAAACCATAGCAACAAGTTCCTCCTTGGTTAACTGCCATAGATCTTACAATTAGAATAACTTTGTACTTAGAAAAACGATTCAGAGATGAATGTGAAGATATATATACCTAGTTGTGTTGCCTAGTTGCAGAAACAAAAGACACTAATAAGCTGATAAATCCAGTTCCATAGACCATAAAAAAATATCACAACTCGAAGAAAATGTTCTAACAAATTTATGATTGGCATTTCAAATTGGGGAGATTAATAGAAGGGCCAAGAAAACCACATAAGGAAGCCTTGTTGATACTGTATTTAATCTGCCTTTGTAATACTGTATTCAATCTACTGTATGCACCATTTAGTTCATAGATGGTATCTTGAAATGTTCACAATCACAGTGCTTACACTGCCTAACCAAGCACTTATGAATGAAATATCTCCAAAACTTATCCTTGCACAAAAATATTGTGAACCATCTATCATTATATACTATTTCGAGATTCTCACTTCCACCACAGAGTGCTTTTGTCTAAGGCAATTTCGATGCTCTATCACAAGTCAGCATGCATACAGCCAATATGGTACCATATGAGTCATTTTCTTTGTTCATATAATTTGAATAATAAGTAGACAGGTCTTCATTACACATAAACTGCTGCAAGATGATTAAAACACAATATTCCATGTGCCCTAAACCCACAATATTCTGTGTAGATAGGTCATCATCCTAAGCCTTTCTTCCTCAAACTCCTATAGCTGCATTCTTCAGTGATTAAAAATGGAAGACAAGTTAATTTTATGGCAGGTTTGGTTGCCTGGAAGTAAATAGACAAATGAAACTCAATCAAATGTGAATAGTTTTAGCCATTTGACTACTTGGAAGCACGCAATTTAGGAAGTTGAGTTTCTGGAATACTGGAACCTGATTGGCTAGAGCATTGAAAATCAAGTTCCAAAAACTCTAGGAAAAAGCACCATGGCTGCACTTTATGCACTTGAAAGATAAATCCAGAATAAACTGATTTGAAGTCAGTCTTAAAACTTTTCATGCCAATTGACCCTTATCTTATATGACGCCATGTAACTCTGCATACAATCTAACCTGGATCAAAATGGTCAACTCAAGTACACAGAATTTGTGCAAGCCACAGGAAACTTGACTTCCATATTTCACTGAGTCCACATTCAACAACTGAAGCCTTTGAAACACAGGTTATAAGAACCAGAGTTTCAACAATCCAAAAGCATGGGATCTAAGAATCATAACATTCAATGAACAAGCACGCAACAGTTACAAGATGTTGATCAAATAACTAAATATTTATAAGATTTTTTAGTAATAAAAATGTGTTATCTGCTAGGTTGTATTTACTTCAAGCTTCATCTTTTTCTATAAGCTTGATGGTAATTATTATTAAAAACATAGAAATGTACTCTGTTCCCTTTGGCCTATTTCAAATTTCCAATCCAACAATCCACTTATCAAATTAGCAAAAACATATTATTTATGGATATATTAATTGCTAGGTAGATAGGTTACTAAAATTCTGACACCCAAACTCCAAAAAAAATTGTTTCCCAGTCTCAAGATTCCACATTCTAATTATCCACGAATCAAACTACCCAGAAATCAATTCCGAGAAAGGTTCAAAATGCTCAGCTGAAGAGACATTTGTTGTCACTTCCCTTATTCTTTAATCGACCATGATAAATGGGGTTTTGCTAAACCATCCTAGTCAGAAAAAATAATCACAAATCTGGTTCTGCTAGCAAATCGACAGCAACCTAAATAAGATTTATGTTAACAACACCTCAAATTAGAGACCGGTTAGGCAACGGGCATCCAAGTATTGAAGAAGAAAGAAGGGAAAGGAGGAGGGAAGGCGGAGAGATTACCTGAGGCGATGGGGGAGGCGGCGACCGCGGTGGCGAAGGCGGATGGTAGAGATTGAGGAGCGCCTGGTGAAACCTCTTCCGCTTCTCTCCTTTAGAGTCCTTCTCCATCAAACCGGTGGATTCTCGAGATTCCTTTGCGACCCGCCCCAACGTATAGATCGCTAACTTAACCACGCTTCATTCCTCCTTCGAAGCAGAGAGGCAAGGGAAAGGGGATAACCGTTCAAGGATTCGGAATCACGGCGACACAAGGAGGAACGAGCCCCGGCGAACGACGTCGGCAGTGGAGGACAGCGAATCCGCTGCGTCAAGAAAGAGGGCGTCGAAAGGAGAGGCGTGAGGGGGTATTTATGTGGCAATGGGTTTATTAGTAAATACCCTTGCCGTATTTGCATGAAACCCCTCTACCGACACAGAATCCACTAGCAATGACGTCATATTATATATATATATATATATATATATATATATACATATATATAATTTGCCTTGTGGATGGATGTCAAAACACAACTTTTGAATTCAAATATAACTTTTAACTATAAGAATTCAAACACATCATATCATAATCTGATTTGATGAGATAATTAATCCATCAGCTTGTTATCCAAAATGCACAAACATATCATGATCCAATTTGATGAGATAACTAATCTATCAATATGCTTTTCAAAGTACTTGAATCCAAGTTAACAGTAATAATACATTTAGATCTTTACAAGTCAACATATATCTATGAACCAATTGACGATAACATGAACTGCAATCCAGGTTAGGAAAGGAAGCACATAGCTTAACTTTCATCCCATGAGCTGCAATCACATTCCACATGACAACTCAGGTAAACAGAGGTTTGACAAATATAGTACAACTCCCAACTGCTTTTGTCGAGGCTTTTGGGTTTCAAACTACCTCGTCGTTGTCCCAGTAATTCCTTAGCTGCGACATATGAAGAAGAAGCTCATCTCGACCAAGGCCAGTAACACTGCTAGTCATGATCCATGGTGGAGGCTCCTTGTAGTACTTACTGATAAGATCTTGGAAATGCTTGATGTTATCATCAGATCGCTTTCCTTTACCACCCTTTATCTTGTCACACTTGGTGAACACAAAAGTCATGCCAATCTAAAACATTACATATAGAGGACAAGAGCAATGGAGTCGGTGATCATAGAAAATGAAAACAATGATGATAGGTAAAGATAGGAAACTAGGATAGGCTTACATTGTTACGGCCGAGCCAGTTAGCACAGTCAAGATCTATCTGCTGAGGTGGAATACTGGCATCAACAAGAAGCAAGACAGCAACCAAGGTATCACGGTTTAGAAAGTAACCCTTGGTAAATGAAGACCAATCTGTTCGAGCAGACTGAGAAGCATTTGCAAACCTATAAGCAAGAAGGCAGTTGCGAAATCAGCAGCTGAAATAAAAAGACTAATGCATGCAGATTTGAAACATTGTAATCTGCTTAGAGGGTGAGTAGGGTAGAGTTCAACATAGAACACCATCAGAGATTCATGTTTTCTTTTGAATTGCTTTCCAAATTATATACATTAAGGCATTTCCAAGTCAACTACAGAAAATGATACCAACAGTAATAGAAAGAACAAAGAGTAAATGAAATTTTGTCTGTCCAAGAAGTTCATGCTTAAGACAAATACTCTCTTCAACACAACATGGCATCACAGTAATGTCCATTGGCCATTTAGATGCGGCACTCAAGTTCAATCTTTTGAACTGAAAGACAAGCCTTTGCTGAATATTTATCGGGACCAATTTACTTCTAGGTGACAAATTTGTCATAAAATCTTGTCAAAGATATTTCAAACAAATTAAATCAGAAGTGAGACATTTATGTTCACAAATTATTAATATTACCACAACAAATTGAAAGAAAAACATTTTGTGAATGTCATAGGCTTAGAAATCATGCCATTCATTAAATTAATTTGTCATGTCAAAGACTTGAAAAGAAAAAGGAGCTGCATTTGAATTGTTTGCAAACTTTAAAAGGCTAGGCTCTTTGCACCTAAAGCTGCATCTTGATCAGTGTAGAACCATCAAAAGCTAGGCTCTTTGCATCTATTGTGTATGCTAGTTAATTATCAATTTGTGTCATGCATAAACCTTAACCAAAAGTACTCCCAAAAATTTTGTAAAAAGTCTAATCCAATCCTCAAGCCATCACTAATTCATATTTGCAAAGATATTCAAGCAGAAAGATAGTTTTTCCTTTCTTGCTGACATTCAATCATTTTACACAGCATGATTTTAGGTATATCAAGTTGTACACCAAAATGCATAGTAGCTTCTTTGAATTTTCATATTTGTTAGAGAATACATAGTGCAAAAAATTCAGTAAGGAATATAAATGACTTCATAGAGAACACATATATTTGATAGCAGAGCTCCCATCTATATCTGAAAAATTAGTTACTCATTAAAAGGAAGTGAACAACAATAAGTAAAAATATGTAACTAAGAAATAATATAGATCATTGCAGACAGCAGACTAATAATTTTCTAGTGAATTCTCATATTTCACAAATTTTAAGATTATCTCAGAGGCATTTTAAAAAAACTGTCATCCATTTTGTATCAAACAAACAATAAGCTCATAAGAAATTTTCTGTGGGAAGATTATGTATGATTGTGAATGAGCATCAAATTCATTTCAATTAAGGATTTCACAGAGCATATGTTCCAAAGAATTGTCTGACGGAGAAATAATATATTTATAAGCATAAGGAACTTAGTTGGCAAGACCAAAAATCAACGCAAGGTAACACATAGAAGATTGTCAAAGAATCAAGTAATGACCATTTCGGCACACCTTTTTACACATATAATTTGCCAAGAAAGCATGGCTCTGTTGCACAACCAGAATCTCAATGGGGAGTTTATAACATATCTATCTATAAGTTATAGCAGAAAGGAAAATCCTTGGTCATTACATATATCAATCGCCAAGGAAACCAAGCAAACAGCTAGCATACATAATACAGAGCGAAGGGAATGCGTACCCATAGCCGGGCAGATCGACGATGTACCAGCTTTTGTTGACCAGAAAGTGATTTATAAGTTGCGTCTTCCCTGCAGAAAGAAAGTTCACATAATATCTGCACTAACAATTGATTCCAAACTCAGGAGCTCGTAATGATACTAAAAGCACAACCACAATACAGTTACAAATTGAAGACAAACAAAAAATTGGCCATTTGTGCTTTTCTAAGACAATTTGGGAATTCGATATCCCTTAGGCAAAAATCTTAGAGTTTGCAGCTTAGCGCAGACCCTGAGAGCAGCACAAGAAATGAACTTTTTAAGCGAGGAACAAGGACAGGAGCATAAGGGTCCGACCTGGCTTCTTGGAAGTGAGGGCGAACTCCTTCTTACGGACGAGGGCATTGATGAGGGAGGACTTGCCGACGTTGGACCTGCCGAGGATGGCGAACTCGGGGCGGTTATCCTTGGGGCAGTCGCGCGCCCGGGCGCTGCTTTTCACGAACTCCACCTGCTTGATCTGCGCGTGACCAGCGTAGGGCCCGACCACGATGTTAGAACCCGGTAGCAACATATCCGGCGTCACCTCCTCCCGCGCCACCCCCGGCGGCACGAAGAGTGCGGTCCTCACCAAGTCCGCGCCCGCCACATTGGAGGCCAAGGAGGGCTTGACGGGATGAGGTGACGGAGGCGGAGGAGGAGGAGAGCCGGTTCCGGGCGTCGTACGTGCGGCAAGGGAGAGCGGGCGGCGGAAGGAGACCGCGGCGAGAGACGGAGCGATGGGAGGAGTGGAGAGCATGTGGAGGTTTAAGAGGCGATGGTGGCGGAGTATCATATCTGTTGGGGCTGGAAGCTGCGGTTTAGGTGTTTGCTGAAATAGCGAGTCCAATTCCACTACTCATCCATCTACAAATGCAGGCACCGTGGCAAGAAGACGCGTCGTCTCATATATGTATTGAATTCACACGTGCCTGGCTCAATGTTAACTTTTACCAATCATATTGCAAATGTAGTACAAAGGACTAGAGAAAACTCTCATATCCTATAAATCTTTGTATATATATATATATATATATATATAAACACAAAAATTGAGTTAAAAAGATTAATTATAATATTTTATTATATTAAACATGCTCAAACATGAATTCCAAACTTGTCACTTATGCAATAATGTATTAATTACTATGATGTCTTAACAAAAAAAAAATTGAGTTCTAAAATAAAAGCAGGTCATTTAATTATCAAATAGTATTTTTTTTTATATGTATGCCACTCATCTTAAAATACAATAAATACATGCTAAGCACTATCAACTAAATTACAAATGATTTTGAAAAATTTTAGAATTTATATACCCAAATTACCCTTTATTGTTTCCACCAATTAATTGACTATAGATAAATATAGAGGAATAATTATTAACATTTCTAGTTTAGAAGGGATATGTTTTGAACATTTTTTTTTTTAAGGATATATGAGCAAGATAAAAAATTTAGTCACAAAAGAAAGTTCAAACAAATGTAACTCTTTTCCCTTATAAATACACACCATTGAATCTCGTATTTTAACGATGAAACTAATTGATAATTGTGTTTATGTCTTAATCTGTGTTTTGAATGACGCAGGATGCTTCGATCAGGATGAGATAATTAAAACAGGAAAAATCATGTTGTGCCAGAGGAACATATCAGAAGATTGGACGTTAGGCCGGTGGATCGGTCGACGTATCGACAAAAAGCTTCGGGTCGTGGACTCGGGCATCGGGCCAAAAAGAGCGGGTATTGCGCCAAGGATATCGGAGTTACGGAGTCAACTGGCCGATTGAGCAATAAGCCGTAAGAGAGGACGATGCGCCGAAGAATCGGACAAAGCGTCGAGGGACCAATGACATGTTGGACAACTTAGTTAATTGCTTAGGAATAATTGTCTCGATCGAAGTTTTTGTTTTACATGTGCATGATTAACTACGATGGATGTAAGACATGCAGTAGGAGTTGCGCTAGAGTCAAGACTATGATCACGTTGGGAGTTCGAGAGTTCGACAGAAGTCCGGACGATCGTCGGAGGTTCTGCGGGAACAAATCCGAGAAGTCCAGGAGCTTGCCAAAAGAAGCTCGTTGGAACTCGCCAAGTGGATCGTCGCAAGTCCAGGAGTTTGCCGGAAGTCCGTCGGAGCATCGCCGGAGGTTCGTCGGAAGTTCGCTGGAAGAAGCAATTGACGCACCGGAGCAAGCTGCAGTAAATGTCTTAAGAATTGTCATAGTTAGCATGTAGATTAAGTTAGGAATGGGAGGCGATCCCATTAACTTAATCTGGAGGCAATTGGACCCTTGACAGATTCAAATTAGGTCGAATGGACCGACCCATTCGGACCAGAATTCTTACTAGGCGGTGGCACCGCTAGGGTCGACGGTGGCACCGCCCAGGAGAGGGTCTCCCAGGAAAGCTGGGCGGTGCAACCGCCCCAGGCAAGTGGTGGCACCGCCTGGGCTCAGTCTTCGAGCGAGACTGGGCGGTGCAACCGCCCCTGACAGGCGGTGGCACCGCCAGGGCTCAGTCTCCGAGTGAGACTGGGCGATGCAACCGCCCCTGTCAAGCAGTGGCACCGCCCAGAGGCTCAGTCTCCGAGCTCTGCCAAGTGGTGCAACCGCCCCTGATAAGCGGTGGCACTGCCCAGAGGCTCAGTCTCCGAGCTCTGCCAGGCGGTGCAACCGCCAGACCCCTGGAATTCCGAGAGATGATAGTTTTGAGCTCGAAATTCAAACTAGTTTGGAGCCTATAAATACCCCTCCCATCCCTGGGTAAAAAA